CGCCCCTTAGGGAACCCAAGGTCCTTCATCCGACGGCTGGCGGGAGTTTACCGAACTTATCCCCTTGGCGGCCACGATGAGCCAGATCTTTGAGGACATCAAGGATGAAGGGATGCTCGAGGAGCCGCCCGCTCCCAGAGGCCCGATGGGAAAGAACCTCAATGCCTACTGTGAATACCATCGCACGGAAGGGCACAACACGGATCACTGCAACGGCCTGAGGATGGCCATTGACGAACTTATTCGGAGGGGCTACCTCAAAGAGTTCACAAGAGGACCGACCCCTCAGAACCAAAATTATCCGAACCGGGAACCATTCGCGTGGTGTAGGGACGGTCGTCAGGAAGCAGAGGTCCGAGACGCCGATTATAGCCAAGCCGATAAACGTCCGGAGGGATTCCTCGGGCCGAGCGGCCACAAGAGGAAACTGGAGATCAAGTGACCGTCGGCATGCAGGACATACGCCCATCGGACGTCCATCCCCCACAACATGGACGAATATGTTGCTGGCATGTGAAGCGTAGAGGATGTGAAGAAGTCCTATCAACGACACCGTCTTGCTAAATTCCTGCCTCAAAAAAAACTTGTTCCTGGTGGACATAACTCTCAAAGTCAGCGAATCCCAAGGAGGAAAAACTTGTTCTCCATCCAAGAACACTAACAAGTGCGGAAAAGTTGTCGGTGCGGTGGGAAGGTGGACGAACGTCCCCAAGAGGGTAAACCTATTCTCCACCAAAGAACACTAACCAGTGCAGTAAAGCTGCCGGTGCGGTGGGAAGGTGGACGAACGTCCCCAAGAGGGCAAACTGTTCTCCATCCAAGAACACTAACCAGTGCAGTAAAGTTGTCGGTGCAGTGGGAAGGTTGTAACACCCCGGAGCCCCACACGGACCCGAGGTAGTTACTCTAGACCTCTAGTACTGTCCCCACAAACCACCACGAGCCTTTACCGCGCACTTTGTCCTCACTCATGCGCGCCCTGAGAAACTTCCCAGGGGGTCACCCATCCCAAGACTACTCCCGTGCAAGCACGCTTAACTTTGGAGTTCTTGGGTGATGAGCTCCCTTAAAAGGAGATGCACCTCTGTTGGTATGAGTAGTACTATTAATCCTATTAAATTAATCTCGGGTATTACAATCACCCCCACTTAGGATCGCAACGTCCTCGTTGCGCCCTTAAACCAATCTCAATAAAACCCCAGAATCTTGTCCCACTAAGTGCCCGCCCGATATCTAACGGGTCAGCACATTGTCGCAGGGTTGCTCTGATACCACCTGTAACACCCCGGAGCCCCACACGGACCCGAGGTAGTTACTCTAGACCTCTAGTACTGTCCCCACAAACCACCACGAGCCTTTACCGCGCACTTTGTCCTCACTCATGCGCGCCCTGAGAAACTTCCCAGGGGGTCACCCATCCCAAGACTACTCCCGTGCAAGCACGCTTAACTTTGGAGTTCTTGGGTGATGAGCTCCCTTAAAAGGAGATGCACCTCTGTTGGTATGAGTAGTACTATTAATCCTCTTAAATTAATCTCGGGTATTACAAAGGTGGACGAACGTCCCCAGGAGGGCAAAACCGATTCTCCACCAAAGAACACTAATCAGTGCCGTAAAGCTGGTGGTGTGGTGGGAAGGTGGACGAACGTCCCAAAGAGGATGAACCTATTTCTCCATCAAAGAGGATAGACGGCCAGACACGAAGATCCGGTGAACAAGGCAACACGCCCGGAGCCTCGGAATACGGCAAACAACCATCACGCCAGGGGCATAGGCTAAATGCAATACGGCGGAGACAGTTTCACTTCTTCATATCCTGTGCATTCTCGGAACATCAGAAATGGGGGACTAGTATTGGGTTAATGGCCCAACAGGGATCGACTCATCGACCCATAAAGTGCCCACCGGACGTCCATGCCTTAAACCCAGTCCTCATAGTGAGACCCCCCTGGGAACATCCCGGGGAAGAGAAGAGAAGAGTGTCGCCCCCACAGGGGACGTCCGGCCCGAAGATACCAAACCCAGAAAGGCAGGTAGCTGCCGGGGACGTACGTCAGGAGATACAGAGTGGCTCATCAACTTAGGAGGCACCAAGGGTATTAGCTGGAGAGGTACGTCAGGTTTAATTCTACTTCCTTATGTCCTGCGCACGCTCGGAACATCAGTAGTGGGGAATTTGTGTTGGGTTAATGGCCCAACGGAGGTTAGCCCATAAACCCTATGGGCCGCCCTACGAACATCCCTAAAAGGCACAAGACAACGAGTTACCTTTCCATGGATTCTGGAGAGGACCGTCCCTAACAGGGCCGGGGGACGTACGTATCCTAGCGCCGACATGACTTTGGCTAAGAGCAGCACAAGATGCTCATCTGGTTGGATGCCAAGATCCCATTAGGACAACGAGGCAAGCTCATGGGACGAACGTCCCCTCTCCTTGCTAGATGCCAAGATCCCAGCACGACGAGGAGGCAAGCTCATGAGACGAACGTCCCCTGCCATTGGCTGGATGCCAAGATCCCAGCGGGACGAGGAGGCAAGCTCATGAGGACGAACGTCCCCTCCTTTGGCGGGAAGCCAAGATCCTGGCGCGAAGCGCATTTATTGCAGAAGATTTGGTGGTTGGGGTCAAGCGGTCCATAGCCCGCCACGTCAAAGCATCCAACTACCCATTGGCAGTATAAATAGAAGCATTTATTTCATTATAAAGGGTTCACAATTGAGCACTCTAGCATTCTAGCAATTATATCATCTCTTAGCCCAGCACTGTACGAACGGTCTTTCGGCTGTAATCGAATCAGTATTGAAACTCTTATTTGGGTCTTTCCTTGCTTGTTCTTCATCTAACTTATTCATTCTTCCGTTCAAAACCCTTGGGACTCGTGTTGGGCCTACGGGTTGAAGGAATAAACCTCAATAGGTAATATTATACCTTCGGCAGTTTGCATAAAATGTAATGCTAGACATTTAGGCCCTAACATCTAAGTGGTTGTTAGAGCAAGAATTTGGCGATTTATGTTGCATTGAAGATGGTTGATCACAGAGGTTAATGAGGCTTAATGATGGCTGTTGAAATGGATTTGTGGTTATTATTATGGTTAATGACGATATTAAGGCATGAGGTAACTTATTTTGATCTGACCAGCATTAATGACAAGTTGTGAAACCGTCGAGTCGGAACCATCAAGTCAAACCGTCCGTAACGGACAACTCGAGCTAGTGGAGCATTTTCAAGGCCTAATGACAATTATTGTAACGTCTTTATGTATTATTAGCCTCTTTAATATGGTTAATGAAGATATTGATTGACCGGCCTTTATGACAAATTTGAAATCGTCATAAAGTGCGACCAACCCGTCAGTAACGTACAAAGCCATCATGAGAGCATTAATTACCCTTCCTATAAATAGGATATCCCTCATTGTAATCAGGGCAGCTCATATCCGAATAATACACAAGCTTTCACTTTTATTCACCCATTTGTCATCTCCTTCATTGCTCTTGTACGAGACCCATTCTTCATATAATTTTCTTTTTAAATTAGTTTTAGCTTATCAAATTATTGTTTAAACAATTTGGCTCCCACCGTGGGGCATCGTGCAAGATAAATTTTTATGAGCATGGCTGGCGGTAATCCTTTGTTGGCACAGTTTCATGCGTAGTTCGAGTCGGCAAAGGAGGAAATCCGATGAGAAATGGCGGAACGAATGGCCCATCTCCAACGGGAGAACGATCTGCTCCGATCCCAAGTCCAATCAACAGTATCAATCGCCTCCAGTTCCAGAGGCAACCGGAGAAACGATATCATGCTCGTCGGAACACGATTGAAATTGGATTCCATTCCGGCAATGACGGAATCACCTATCATCACCACTGAACGCATCTCTCTCACATTGGGCATCTCACCTGCCGGAGATTCGCAACCTACAATCATCTCTCACGTCATCCCTTACACACCTCTCGTCCCTGAGACGACTCCCCTTCCCAGCATATCGGCTTGTTTCTTTCCGGAGTCCCTTCGCCCCGGACCAAGAACGACAGGCTTGCACTCAGCCACCCAAAGCCTACCAATGGCTTCGGCCGTATCAGCCCCGACGGAACCGTCTGTCCCTCACTATAGAAGCAAAACTCATGTTGAGCCCGGTCCATCCAACTTCATGCAGAACCGCAGATGGAACATCTTTGACGACCTGTCACCTGAGGTTCAGACACAACGACCGCGTAGACCCGTCAATTTAATGGATGAGAATTGTGTGGGGCGACGTCCGAAAGTCATTGTCATTCCGTCACCAACCCATCTCGGAGTGACATGACCAACGGTTTCAATGGGAGGACTACGTCAACCAGATCTGGCAGATACAATGTCTATGATGATGGACCAGTTACGTCAGATGCATGAAAAGATCAACGGGTTACCAGGAGTTCCCCCACCTTTGGATCGAGCATCACGAACATGTTATGCAGATTCCCACATTAGCAGACAGATCACCGATGTGGAAATACCGAGAAAATTTGCCACACACTAGTACAAAAAAGGCTTCTCACATCGGTCAAAAAAGGCTTTTCACATCGGTCAAACAGCCGATGTGGTTCCAGCCCATGTGAAAAGTAGAGACTTTCACATCGGTCAATGAACCAATGTGGAAATTCTTTCTACATTGGTTGTTCACTGCCCGATCTAGAAGACAGTCCAAAATGGCGTTTTAAATGATATTTCACATCGGTTATAGTCGATGTGAAAGAATCCACATCGGATCTGAAATAACCTATGTAGAAAACCTTCATATTTGAACGCATCACAAGGTATTTCACATCGGTTATAACCCATGTGGAATAGAATTCACATCGGTTAGAATAACAACCGATGTAAAATCTCGAAGAAGAATTAAAAAAAATGCTTTGGTTTTTAGAATTTGGCAGCAATTTGAATTAAAACTTCATACGTAGTATTATATTTAATGTTGCTTTTAATAGTCAACAACAATAATGCATAGCAAATCTCAGCTAAACTAAACAATTTCTAAAATACTACACTAGTTTCTAAACTTTATCATTCAAGTAAAAAGATAATATTTTCATTGATAAAGTGTATGAGTAAAATATCACTCGTATTCAGAAGTAATAACACAACAACACAATGCAACCTATAATACAATTACACACAATAAGCCTGAAAGAAGTCGAAAATAAACTTCAGGTGCTCCAGCATGTTCTAATAACGACATGGAGGGGCTGCACCATTGCATATAGCAGTTGCACCAGCATGTTAGTCTGTGGGTCACACCAGTAGATTCTACAAGCTCCAAAACCAATCACAACCCTACAAAATACACCAAAAGCATGAATAAACCATTTTTCGGACCTCTATATGATATTTAATAATTGTATAGAAAACCACTTTTATTTCTCTGTTCTTTTATATTAATTGTATAAATCAGCCTTATATCCAAATTAATTGGAAAAATCAGCTCTTTAATATCGTATTTAGAACCTAGGTTCTAAATAAAAGAACAGAGAAACAATTGTATAGAAAACCACTATTAATGAGGTGGGTATAGAAAGAGACCACTTTGCACGCGAAGAGGTCTTTTTATTTGAACTCTTCTCTCTCTCTCTCTCTCTCTCTCTCTCTCTATATATATATATATATATATATATATATATATATACACACACACACACACACACACACACACACATATATATATATATATATATATATGTGTGTGTGTGTGTGTGTGTGTGTGTGTGTTTATACAGTCCATTATTTTAATGGATTTGACACTTTTTATTCTTACTCGAATATATTGCTAAGTTATGTTAATTAGCAGAGTTTGAGAACATATTAAGATTGTGTGCACAATGGATGAATAATTGCCAACATACTTCTAAATAGATGATTTTTCAAGGTGCCTTTGGGCAAGAACTCATACACCAGTAGTCGATGGTCGCCTTGATAGCAATAACCGATAAGCTTTACCAGGTTCGGATGGTGAAGTTGCCCGAGATAATTAACTTCAGTCTACAATGCAGTTGTTAGTAAGGTAATAACAGTGGGCAAAGAAAAGAAAATGTTGTTTACTAACTCACTGAATTATACGGAGTATATATTAGAGGAAAAAGAAGCATACCAGCCACTCCTTGTGACCTTGAAAACCTTCTGGCTTTAATCTCTTCACAGCAACAACCATGCTGAAACCATGTTTCACAGTGGTAAGGGTATGTTCATCAATCCATCCTTTGAACATGTAACAAAATCCTCCCTCTCCGAGAAGACTATCGAGTCTGAAATTTCTGGTTGCATTCTTCAATTCATTGAATTGGAAGGATTTAACCATGGGTGAGAACAATATTTTGTTTTCAGAATGTGGGGCCAATATGATATTATCAATCTTGCGGCTTTGCCTCCCATTTGGTGGAACATTAATGGAAGACACATTGGAGGAGTTGCTTGTTTTATTGGTAGCAATTCTTGCGGGTTCAGAAGCTGCAAGAAAATATATAAAGAAAAACATTAGAAGGACTGAAAAGAATTTCATGTATCCAAAACCAGTGACAGAAACATATATAGATTAATGCATGTTGACACCCATTGCTTCAAGGAGTGGGTACTGGGTAGACAAAGCTAGTTATTTGTGTTTCCTAAAGAATGCATGTCAATAGCATAATTAAAGTAGTTTTAGTAAATTATCATTAACATTTGACATTTCATCTTAAAAATGTTATAGATATGAATGATAGGATAAGATGTTTATGAACTTAAGTCTTACCCATTTTTTGTCCTATAACTTTATTTGCGGATCATTTACAATAATTAAAAGGAATACCCATATTAAACCTTTCCTATGAAGGTCTGATATAGCCCGCTTGAAATGTCCTGTCAGCGTCACGTGTTTGAATAATGAGTATGTAATAGAAAAACAATAGACATAGAAAAACATAAGCAAATAAACAAATCCCTCTATGTTGGTTTCTATTTTTAGTTTTTCTTAGATTCAAGTGGCTTAACAAACCCTCTGTGGCCTCGCATGATGGTAATAACTAACCTTAAAGTCTGTTTCCTCATTTTTTATCCTTACCCTGTCAAATTAGCGTAAAAAGTCCTATGTTGGTTTTTTTTTTTGATTTTTCTAATGTGGGATTGTGATGTAACTTAACAATTACGGAGTATTTATAGATGCATTTTTGTGATAAACTTTCTAAATATGTGTATGTAAAAGGAGTTTAGGGGTGTTTCTAACTTCTTTCCCATCGCTAGTATAAAAAACTATTACCCCTGTTTGATAGATTTAGATTATAAGCTGATTGCATGATTCCTTCCATCAACTACATAAGTTAATATTTGATAGAAAATCAGATTAATCTTTTAGATGATAAGTCTAGAAATACAAATAATTATTGGTGTACCAAACGGGCACCTGCATATCCAACTAATTGCTCTTTACTAAAACAGAAATAGATCCATGGCTGAATAATAGACATCATTATACAAGATTCACATAGTTACATTAAAAATTATGAGAACATTTAGGATAGCATATTTCAGTTATTTCTATATAAAGACGTGTAGCAAAAGAATATTACAGTTTTACATCAAAAGAATCAACTTATTTTAGAAAATTGCAGTTTGGTGCTTTTCCAGAGAATCACTTCAAGTGCTTAAATGAGAAAGCTCAAATAGGCACCAGAAATTTCCACAATTCCACTCATAGTTTATAAAAATTTGAATAGATACACTATAAAAAACTAGGAAGGAAGAGGCTCCTTGACTCGACTGCTTCAATATCACTAGTAAAGGATGACCCATCACAATATCTAACCTTGACTCAATTCCAAATGTAGAAGTCTGGAAGTTTAGAATATAATTCAAGGTTGTGTTAATGAGGCTTGACACTCTTAGTATTCATCAGAAGAAAAGTTAAAAGTTACCTAGATTTCTTATATGATGGAAATGTTATTTCCCAGTGGTGAGGTGTTGTCCAACAAAAGTATACACATATACCCTTAAAAAGGTATAGGAAATATATGCATTCATATTTTCAATTGCAGCAAGAACTATAACCTAGAATCGTAGATTTTAAGACTGACTCACTGAGAGAACTAAATCCAGTGTAAGTGCATCTACTCTAATGTAATAGTTTGGGATGAAAATTGAGCAAGAAAGAACAAAAATTGACCAAGAATTCCTAAAAATAGATGGACAAAGCAGGCAAAAATCTAAATTGAATTGTAAGCTAAACAACCATAATTCCATAAATCTAAACTGTAATTAAATTTACCCCTGTTGTAAGAATTTGGGATTAAAATCTAGAAACAGGGAGTCAAATGCACTAGGAAGAATAAAATAAATTATAAGACAAAACACATATGTCAAAAAAAACTAAATTTAAACTCCAATGCAATACTTTGAAGAATCAGAACCAACCAAGAAAAAACAAATTTCAGTCACGAAAACCTTAAACAAGATAATCAAGGGATAGAGGTGTTACGTACCCTGAGAATGATCAAAGACGCTGACAAAAGCGTAACAAAGAGATTTGTGAGTGACAGGGAGGATGAGAATGGAATTCAATGGGCTGACTAAAGAAAACGCATCTCGGAGCCCAACAACTTTACCCACAGTCGCGTCTGGTTGCTAGTCCAAATCTGGTCGCAGGGTCCGCCTCTAGTCGTTGGGTCCGTCTTTTCCCTCTGGTCGATTGTCACTGGGTCCGTCTGTAGTCGCCGGGTGCGTCTGCAGTCTGCCGGGTCTGTCTCGTCGCTGGCCATTTCGAGTTGTTGGTCGTCCGCGTTCGCTGGTCGTTGGCCGTTCGCTGTCGCTGGTCGTTAGCCATCTCGGGCCGATGGTCGCTACTTTGCTGAAGTTTGGGCTAGGTTTGAAGGTCTTCATAAATAATAGAGAAGACGCGTATCACATAGGTTTAAATTCATCCAGATCGGTTATAACCGATCTGGTATCAGGCACGATTTTTTTATTTTGCTATTTTTCGAAATCGGTTTTAACCGATCTTAAAACAACATCTATTAATTCAAAAGTTGACCCCGTTTTTTTGTTTACATCGGTTGTATATAAGACCGATGTAAAATATTTTATAAAATTGTAAGCTACACCCCATTTCATTATTTAACATCAGGTATAATGATAAATGATGTGAAAAAGTTTGTGAAAATTATAAAAATGACCCCATGTCAGTATTTCACATGGGTTATAAGATAATACATGTAGATAAGATGATGTAAAAAACCTTTTTTGTACTAGTGGCACCATCAATGAAGATGTTCGCTGGTACATCTGATCCGCTGGAACATGTTGCTCAATACAAGCAGTGAATGCTCGCCGTATCGCTTCATCCAGATCAAAAAGAAGCATGCATGTGCCGAGGTTTCGGAGCGACACTATCTGGTCCCGCCCTAACATGGTTCGTCAACCTGCCAAATGGAGGGATCAACTCGTTTGCGGAACTAGTTGACGCGTTCAACCAACAGTTTGCAAGCAGTCGAGTTCTTGAGAAGCAGACAAGCGATCTTTACAGAAACATCCAGCACCGAGACGAGTCACTGAGAGACTATCTGCATTGCTTCAATAAAGAAAAAGTGTCGATTTCCAGGTGTGACGTTTCGACAGCAGTGGAGACATTTTGAAGTTTTAATCGACGATTCAGAACTGTATAGAGAACTGACTAAATACCCCTGCAGAACCTTCGAAGATGTCCAGGCCAAGACCTTATCTTTCATCAGGCTCGAGGAGGACCAACAATCACGACTTCGATAGGATGGATATGACGGGGGGCAACATAAATCCAACACGTCCAGGAAGCACGATTACCGGACTGGCAAACCCTATGCTAGAACCGAGGATCGGCCAGTAGTGTCAATAGCAGGATGGCTTGATGATCCGGATTTGCCACCCGTCATCACCGATTACTGCTTCATGTCACCACCCGTGGACTCATCCACTCTTTAGAGAAGCTGGGGGAAAATGTTCGATGGCCCAAGAAAACCGACAAATCAGCCGGACGTCGAGACCCGAGTAAGCATTGTGATTTTCACAATGACATTGGGCACAACACTGAGGAATGTGTCGCGCTGCGGAAAGAGGTGGCATACTTACTGAGGAATGGCTATCTGACAGAAATCATGTCTGAACATACCAAATCGCTTCTGGGACGGAATGTCAAAGTGTCACCAAACGAACTGAGACCTCCTTCACCGTCATCTCCTTGTAAGGTAATTCACTTCATTAACGGTGGATTTGACTTATGTGGGCTAACATATTCTGCCGCAAAGAGACACGCTCGAGATTATTCCCGAGACAAGTCATTACAGGTCTGCAGGGTCAAGAAACATCAAGAGGAGTGGAGAAATGCGTCAATCACTTTTGACGAAATAGATATTCCTGACCCGACACAATCTCATCATGACACGTTGGTCATCTCTCTCAGAGTGGCGAATTGCGAAGTCAAACGAGTCCTTGTGGACAATGGCTCCCATTTGATGGAATGGGGTTCCCAAGATCATGTTGTAGGCTGGCGGATTTTCGACCACATCAAACCTGACCTTGACGACTTGATGATACGTCGATGGAATGGCTCCCATTTGATGTATCCATGTAACTTTTAATATACGGGGATCAAAAGTCAGCCAAGTCATGCTACCAGACAGCAATGAAGTCAACTATAAACCAAACAGCTTCCAAGACGGCATAGCAATCAAAGGGTGACCCTGCTCTGGAGGAAGATGGCGCCAGAACACAAGAAGTCGTCGTCGACCCAGAACATCCAGAAAGGGCCGTCCGCATCGAGAAGAACATACCGGCCCATCTCAGAGACGAACTGATAGACTTCCTCAAAGAACACAAGGACGTGTTCGCATGGAGCCACGAAGATATGACAAATATTGATCCAAAAATCATAACTCACCGGTTAAATGTCATCTCGTCATTCAAACCCGTTAGACAGGAGAGGAGACGGTTTTCCAGAGAACGGAACGACATAGTAAACGAGGAGGCCGAAACACTGCTCCGAACCGGAAAGGTGAAAGAGGCCAAGTATCCTGACTGGTTAGCCAACGTCGTCGTCGTGCAAAAAAGGAAAGGAAAGAACAAGAGAAACCCAGCTAAGTGGCGAGTTTGCGTCGACTTCACCGACTTAAACAAAGCATGTCCAAAGGATTCATTTCCTATGCCGCATATTGACGTACTGGCTGACGCAACTTCCGGACACGAGATGCTATCCTTCATGGACGCTTTCAGCGGTTATCACCAAATTCAGTTACACCCGGATGACCAAGAGAAGACCACCTTCACAAGTGAGACAGGTACGTATTATTACATTGTTATGCCTTTTGGACTCAAAAATGCAGATGCAACGTTCCGGAGGCTGGTTACCATGATGTTCAAGGAACAGTTGGGAAAGACCATGGAAGTCTACATCGACGACATGATCGTCAAGTCAAAGCAGAAGGAAGATCACATCAGTCACCTAACGGATTCATTCAAGAAGCTATGTGAATATAATCTAAAACTTAACCCGACTAAGTGTGCCTACAGAGTGTCATCAGGAGAATTCTTGGGCTACATTGTCAGCGAACAAGGAAAAGAAGCGAGCCCAGAACAAAAATGAGCGATTCTCGACATTGAATCGCCCAAATCCGTCAAGGATGTCCAAAGGTTGACAGGACGAGTTTCAGCCTTGAATCACTTCATTTCGAAGTCATCAGACAAATGCCATTCGTTCTATGACGTTTTGCGAAAGAACAAAAAATTAGAATGGACAAATCGGCATGAGCAGGCACTCCAAC